TGCAAGATCATAAAAAAGCTAAGGAAGCTGGGGATAGTGGTACATATCCGTGATTCCAGCTCTCTGGAGATCTAGGCAGGAGGGTTGTGAGTTTAAGGCCAGCTGGGCTATGTAGAGTTCAAGGCCGGTATGGGTTAAATAGTAAGACCCTGCTCAAAAGAAAAGAAAAAAAAAAAAAGAAATGAAATGAAAACAAAACAAGACAAACACCAAAAAAAAAAAAATCTACCAAGGAAGATACATAAAAGAAATTTCCCTATTTAAAACATAGTTCTAACAACTATTCCATTGGAAACATCTTCATTCCAGTTAGACAGAAATCCAAATCCTTGTTTATTTATTTCAAATATAAATTCTATCTGATTCTAAAAAAGACTCGAGGAACTGGGCAGGGGACACAGCTCAAGCAGTAGAGTAGCATTGCCTAGCAAGGGCAAAGCCCTGGGTTCAATCCTCCTACTGCAAAGAAAAAGTACTCGAGGGACTCTTCAACAAAAGTTGTATTAGCAGTCAAGTACATTTAATGGCCATTGAAATTGTGTAATTAAAAGCATTATTCTCTGCTTTGTCATTAACCAAAAGTACATTTCAGTCCAAGATATCTTGTGTTTATGATTTAGTTGCAACTCCAGTTAACATACTTTGTTAATTTTTTTCTCCTAATGCTGTCATTAACCAGCACATTGTGAAATTCTGTTGCACTAGCAAAGCATTACTTTTGCATGTCACCAATCTGTCCTTCCACCTGCGTCACATCTGCCCCCATGCCAGATCAACTGCATGCTATCCCAGGATTGCACAATTCTAAGTGTAGCCAACAGCCTCCTGGAACACGGAGGTCAGTGCATTACCTCAATTGCTGTTTTGCACTCAGCTCTGAAATACCTCTGATCAATGTATTCTGACAGTGGTGATCCATACTTCTAAAATACTGCTCTCAAGAAGCTGTAAGATTCCTAGGGAATTATCTTCAGACAACTTACCCAGATCCTTTCTTGGTTTAGTATCGACAGGCGATTATTCAGTCAGTCTCTGAGCTCCCAAGGATGTTAAACATTTTAACATCTCTATATTTGCTTCTCTATTCCTAAAATAAAGATAGCAGAAAGGGCCAATGTTGGGAGGAATTCAAAGCTACTGGGGTGATTTTTATAAAAAAATAGTTCCTGCAGCTCCCTTGCTTTGAACAGGAAGCCTTCCTGGAGGTGGTACCACACATAGTGTGGCAGTTAGAGTACAGCCTTTTTGAGCTGGACAGATCTTTGTTGAATCCTGTATAAGGAGCTTCTGTATCAGGCAAGTGACCTGATTTCATGTGCCTCTCAGTCTTAGATGTTCATATCTGTACCAGCCATTCCGCTAGGCATGAGGGTTTAGCACACAAGCCAACCAGAGGACACATGGGTGTGAATTTGTCTAGCAAAGGTAATTTTGTAGATTAGGGGTTAAAATTTTAAGCAAAATCCTGCTTGTTTCTTAGTTTGCAGAAGAGATTGAGGCTGTGGGTTCCCAAGGGGACGTGGAAGAGAGGAGAAAGGTAAAAGGCTGGGCTTGGGAGTGTGAAGAAGACAGGACAGGAAGTACTGAAGGCAGAAAAGACAAAGTATTAAGTTGGAGACTGGTGCCTCAGCAAATGTGCGAACCCTATCTGGAGTAGCAGCCACCATGTGGTGGATTGCTCTGGCTGCCCTATGGAGCAAAGGAACTTAACAGTCAGTGACAGCTATGCAATCATCCCACTGGCTGGGGTTTCAGAAGGCCAAGTGACTCACTAAAGGTCACACACAGACTTCAATATAGCATCCTGGCTCCAAGTCCAGTGCTCTTTCTAATCTGTAACAGGAGATCTGGGTCTGTCCTTAACTATGTTTTCTTTGGCCTCCTTTTCCTAGTCTGCAAAGCCACTGGGCCAGGCAGCATTGCCAGGCTTTTGAAGGTTCCAGCTTGTTAGATTACGTGTCACTTTGGGCAAGCCATCCAAACTTCCTGGCTTGTTTCTGTAATTAAAATTGTGTTCTGTAACTTTGAGTTCTAAAGTGCTGATGTTGACAAGGGCCCCACTTATCTGGCTTTCTGATGTCTTTATAGCATATACCAGGGCCAGGAAGGTCTATTTGTTTGTGCACTCAAGTTTAGCACTAATACACATCATGTCAAATATTTAAATCACTGACCCATGCCCCAAATCATTTAAATTAATAGGCAACAATCCAATACTAAGGCTTAAAGTTTAATGTTTTAAGGAAGCAGATATGGCCAGGCATGGTGGAGCACGTGTGTATTCGCCTGCAGGAGTGAAAGGATCTGAGTTCAAGGCTACCTAGCAAGATCCTGACTCAAACAAAAACAATAGCAGAAAAAACCCATAGAAAATGAAAATAAATCTAAGAAGGCTGAAGCAAAGCAAGGGGAAGACGGTGGCTGAATGTCACATCGCATACGTGTCCAAAGAGCAAGACCCTTCCTGTTAAGTAAGTGCTAGCTCTAAATAAAATCTCTTCACTCCGCTTTACAACAGCTTCCTTGAACCATAGATACATATGCTAATTCATTGGGAACTACAAGATCATTCCGGCTGGCTTAGAGTTTTCATCCGTGCATTTTCTGAAATGTCACTGGAGATGGATTTCCTTGGGGGAGGGAGATTGGAAAAAAATTTTTTTTTTAACACGCAAGAAACGAATTTGCTTTTCCTCCCAACGATCGCAGTATTTTCGTAATCGCTTATAATTTAACATTAAACCATAGCCTCCCAGGCAGGATGACGACTTAAGATCCGCAGTGAGTCCTGGCAGCCAGTCCGTCCATCTCCACGGCGGGCGGGGGCCGCAGAGCGCGCGGAGGACCCGCGCAGACTTCCGCCTCCTCGGCGCGCGCCGCTCCCCGCCGCAGCCGCGTTCCTGAGCCACGGGGGCGAGGCTGAGCTCACGGGAGGGCGGGGCGGAGGAGAGGGGTGGGCGGGGCTTGCGGGAGAGCGGGGCGGGGTTTGCGGGGGGCGGGGCTTGCGGGGGCGGGGCGGAGGGCTGGCTGTGGCCCAAGCCAGTGTTAAGCAGCGGCCGGCGCCGCCCAGTGGGATTGCAGAGCAGGCAGCGGAGCGGGAGCCGTACGCGGCCACACCAGCTCGTCGGTGAGCACAGCCAGCGCGGCCCCGCGGCCTCGGGGAGCCCGCCGGAGGAGGGAGCGGGGCGCCAGGCGTGGAGCGGGCCTTGGCGCGGGGCAGCGTGACCTTCCCGGGAGGCCAGGGAAGTGGCCGGTACACGTGCAACGGGACCCGCGCAATGCCACGGTGGCTGGCCGGGGCTGGCGGAGCCTCCCGTGCTGCTCGGCCTCCTTCCCGCAGGTCCCGCCTGCTGGAAAACCTTGTCCCCCTTTGCCCCCGAGTCGTGTCACCTGGTTTCCCGCCTCCGCGCTGCCTGCGCCTGCGTCGGGGAGCGGGGAGGGACGTGCCTGTGAATGGGAGGCCCTCAGGCTACCGGGTGGGCTGCGAGCAGGGTCAGCGGGCGGACAGCTTGGACAGAGAGAGTTGGCCTGGTCCCCTGCGCTGCTCGCCAGGCCTGGAGGAGGACTCGCCCTGCCGGGCTCCTCGGCTGCAGAACTGGTTTGCATCGCAGAGCCCTGCGCCCGCCTTAGAGGCTCCGATGGCTGGGGACCAGCGGCCTTCTGCCGCCCAGCTTCTGCGTGGAGCTGGCATCTTCCTGCCCTGGTGGGAAATGCGGCCTTCTGCGAGTCTCCCACCCGAAAAATTAACTTCCCCAAGGAAGAAGTGGGATTGGCACTGTTGTTTCTGTCTGCTTGGACCCCAATGTAGTTTGACAGGGACTATGGGATGCTGAGGGGATTCAGCTTTTCTATTCCAAGTTGCCGCAAGTTCCTAAATTTGTGCTGACTTGTCTCTTGTGCGACTTCTCCAAGCCATAGCCATGCTATGGGTTCACCTGTTAGTACCTATCACAGTTTTCTATAGCTCTACAAGTTATTTGTCGGATTTAATGCATTTAAATTTGGTATATGTAAAGGGTTGAATTTGCACCGATGAAGTAGTATAATCTGACGTGCTTTTCTTTCGTTCCAAATTAAATGTGTCCACATCAAAAGCAATCGACTCAGAGGCTTATCTGAGGGGCCACCTTAATATGTCACATCCGTGTATCTCTTCCCCGCCTCCCTCCTGGCAAAATGCAGGGTTGGGTGTATGGGTGTATCAGGTTTGTATTGGGCAGGTTGAAATACCCTGGAATTAGGTATGGGTTTGTACACAGATGTGAAAATGGACTTTTTAAAATTGAATCATTGAATCATCTCTGCTACTGATTAGTTTCATTCCCTTGGAGAAGACTTTGTCTCCTTCTGGCCTTAGTTTTTCTTCTGGAAAAGGAGGAGAATGATAGGACCCTAACAGCTACCTCTTACCAACCTAGTAGTTAACTCTCTCTCCAGGTCTGTCAGTACTATGGAATCATTGTCTTGTCCTTGGAACTTAGGTTTTTTTTGTTTGTTTGTTTGTTTATTAACTAGTGTTGCTGGTCTAAAGTTTTTTTTTTTTTTTTTTGGGTAAAGAGTCTTGGAGTTTGTGTATCAGCAAACTTCTTCAAGTGATTTAAAAGACTCTCATTGGCTGCCATTGTTTCCTGCTGATGATGGTATTTGAAAGGACCTTGGCCTCAAGTCCATTGCACCATTCTCCTCAGTGTGATAAGGAATGAAAAGTGTCCCTTTTTATTCATGACTAAGTGATTCCATAGTTTGAAAACTATACAGAATTGGTATTTTAATCTTATATGTTAAGGAGCCCCCTTTTTGTAGATAGTATTTATGAAGGTGGAGTTTTCCCAAGCTCCCTAGGCTCCAACCCAAATAAACTGAATTAAGATTTCCTGGAGAGAGAACTGGTAATTTGAATAGTTAAAATGTGCCCCCAGGTGATCTGATCAAGCAAATTTGGGACTCAGTGGTACAGGTGTTGTGCCTCAAAGTGTGGATGGTAGGCCTGCATTGTTAGCCTCACCGGTTTGCTTAAATCTTTAGCATTTCTGGTCCCCCTGCAGCCTGTTGAATCAGAATCCACACTGCAACAATCCCACAGGTGATTCTACACATTTACTGTTGAGAAATGCTAAAGTGGATGATGGTGACAAGAGCAGGATTGGCGCTCCATGCTGGGGCTTGTTCTGAGGATGGGTGATGCTTCGGTCCCACGTGCTTTTTTTTTTTTTTTTTTGTAAATTTTGCCTTTATGTTATATTTCTATAATTCACCTTGTGCAGATGAGGACCTCCCAGTTGTGTTCAGGTGTGGGTGACTGCAGGGCTCCTGACATCTGCCGCATGTGTCTTTCCAGGCCTCTTGGGCTCATGGCACAGATTGCTCTCCAAACTTAGCACTAAGCCAGGGCAGCAGGTGTGAGAATGAGGGCTGTAGGGGTTGAGCTAACTGTGGGCCCTTGCCTCGTCCTAGGGATATGTGGTGCCTGTCATAGGCTGGTGGAGAGTTGCCTTCCGAGGAACCCAGCTGCATAATGAAGTCCAATCCTGCCATCCAAGCTGCCATCGACCTCACGGCAGGGGCCGCAGGTAATCCCAGAGCAGACTCTGTCCTCTGTATTTTTGTAAGTAGCTTCTCAGCGAGATTGAGTGAAAGTGGTTTGAAAATAATCCTTTTGTCTCCCTAGAAGTAATGTGCTGTAGCCTTGGAATGAATCCATTTAATGGAGGTGTGATATTGTGCAGAGCAAGGCAGAAGGTAGAGTAGTATCTGTTGGACTAAAACTTTGAGTCAGGGTGAAGGGTAGGAATGTCCCCAATACTGCCAGAAAACAGCTCAGAGATGAAGTCACATGTTCATTGTCTCATGGCTAGGGTATGGAGGTGACATTGGACTTCTGCCCCAAGCTTGGCAATCTTCAGATTCTTTGTAGTACAAAAATACCATGCCACCTCTCCAGAAGCACCAAGTACTGTTCCTATTGGTATTGGGAAAGGAAGGAGAGTCCCCTATTAAAATGAGACCGACATTTCACTGTGCCTTAAAAGAGGTCCTAGGATTTGGTGGAAACTAGCAGCTAAAACTGATGCTTGGGGCCTGAGCCCAAGGGCAGACTGGAGCCAGCACTATTGACATCAGGCCACTCAGTAGAAAGATCACCTTTAAGATGCAGGCATAGTGGAAGCTCAGCCTGAGGCAATGATGAGACTGGGCACCCATGCTGATTGCTTGGTTTTCCAGAGTCCCTGTGCTACCTGAGGGCCAGAGGAGTGCAGCTTTGCTCATGTTTCCTCAGCAGACCCCTGCTCTACCTTGGCCTCCCACACTGACTGTCATAATGGCTGCAGTTACTGGGCTGTGGAAGCCAGAGGAGTGTGTTGCTCAATGAGCTCTTATCCAGTGGGACCTCCTGGGTCAACAGATCAAGTGTAGTTGGGGGGAGAAGGCGGGTACGCACCACCTCACACTGTCCTTTGCCCAACTGTAAAAAAAAAAAAAAAAAAAAAAACCAATCCTTGTTCAGAGAAGAACAAAGTTTTTCCCATCAATCAAAGGTCTGTCAAAATAGTTAATGAGGAAGGCTGGAGACAGCATTTGTAGACACTGATAAGGATCCCTGGGCAAGGACACCTCTCCAGGTTAGAGACCACAAGGAGTGTTCCAGCCCAATGAGCAGGTCTAACAGCTGGCTGGAGGACAGCTGGCTGGATTGTTCTCCGGCAAGCTCTTGCCCACCGCATGCCTGTGGAGCACTACCCTCGCACTCTGTGGAAGGGAGCTTCAGCTCCCCAGGCCTCTAGGCACCTTTTTCCCCACCTCCCCATGCCACGCTGTGGAGGATGCTGACTGAGAATGGCACTGCTCCGCTGGCCTCTTGTCCCCTGTTAGCATCATGCAAATGCTTTGGGCACAGCTCTTGTCTCTCAGTAGGAGGGCATGTAACCACACCAGAGATTCTCAGCTTTGGACACTTTGTATCCTTTAGTCTTACCAGAGAGCTGAGATCTATTTTTATTAAAAAGCTTACCTTTCCTGTTTTTTGTGCATTCAGGTATTTGTCAGTTTTTAATGTAAATTGCAACAGTGTTGTTGAGAGCCTGGCATAGAGGACATTTGCTAGTGGGCGTGTTTAACAATGATAAAAACATATTTAGGGCCCTTCTACATATTGACACTTAGTGTCCCTGCTGATGGCAGGGAGTTTCTCCCTGTGCTTAGCAACACAGGGCTGCCTCTCTGATGCAGAGCTGCTGGGGTCCACAATTGCCTAGGACAGCAAACTCCTTGGCAGATGCAGGGGCTCTGCAAGTGGGGGGGCTGGGCAGAGGAGGTGCCCACCAGTGACACAAGAACCTCCATTCTACTGGGAGGCACCTGGTATGCAGATGGAAAGCAGAGTGGGGCTTAGATGGACCTTCAGGGACTATTCACTTTGATGCTCACTATTCATATAGGAAGAGTCCAAGAGAGGGAGTGTGGACTGGTTCAGGGTTACTCAGTTGGGTGGTGTGCACAGTTCAGAACCTTGGTTTCCTTGTTCCTCATACCATTCTGTTGTTGTTGTCTTTGTTTTACTGCTGCCTAACGTGGCAGCAGCCTTCCCAGCGGTGAGGGATAGTTTGGTGCCTTTGCTATCCTGAGTCTGGGATTTGAGAGTTTTCTGCTAGAAGCAGAAGACCCCTAGCACCTCACGGTCACAGCTCACCCATAGAAGGGATTCACCTGTAAGTGCAGAGCCAGCTGTGGTCCAAGGGGGTCATGAGTGCAGCATAAATGTGGTATTCTTTGTGTCTCTCCTTTTTTCTTAAAAAAAAAAAAAAAAAGCCTTTCCCACTCAACAGGTTTTCCATCCAGCTCATCTCTTTTAAAGTGCCAAAAAGTTATCATTGTCCCTGTCTACACTCGCTATAGAAGTTCCAGGAAAGGATCTGGAGCCCTGGGCAGACAGGCGTTAAAGATAATTGGATAGTTATTGAACTGAGGCCATGAGGATTCAGAAAATTAAATGACTTTAAGGGGAAGCCTGGGCAGTAGTTTGAGTCAGTAGTTTAACTGGGATGATAGGCGTGTACTACCATCCCTGGCTCTAAAAATCCTATAAAATTATATTCTGCTAATTCAGATAATTTTGTAAGGCAAAATGGAAGTGTGCCATGTTTCCCCCAGAAACAGCAAATGGTAGTGAGGGAATCACATAGATGATACTTTTAGTTGTTTTAAGAGGAGACCAAGCAGTTCTCAGACTCTTCAGAAATGTTAGTTTACCTGCCAATAAACGAGTCTTCCTCAGTGGCATTCTCCCATCTCTACAATTTAGGTGGAGTAACCTTGTATAATGACAAAGCTGTGAAATTGCATTTCTTAATTCCAGGCCTCACTTTACCACATGAGCCAAGTCTCTAGCCCCTTTTTACTTTTTGTTTTTCAGATAGAATCTTATGCTTTTTGCCTACTACCAAACCTCAGACAGTAGTTCTCCTACCTATGCCTCCTGCATATTTGGGATTATAGGCATGAACCACTATGCCTGACTTGTTTGTTGAGGTGGAATTTCACTAACTTTGCTGAGGCTGGCCTTTAACCTCAGACTTCCAGAGCTCTGCCTCCTGAGTAGTTGGGATTACAAGTGTGAGCCACTGCACCTGGCCTTGGCCTTCTCTCCAATTTTCATAAAGCTTTCGTAGCCTCACCATGTGGCAGATGTTGGAGATCTGCCTAGTGAAGGGGTGGTGAACATTAACCAGTGACAGTTCCTAAGATGCCCCCAGTCTAAGGTCTGGAGATCTTACAGGGTGGTTTTGGTTCATTCCTTTCCTTCTGTTCAGAATTCTTACCGAAGCAATCTAATGCAATTTAGACTTGGTGCCTTTGCTATTCTTAAAGTGTAAAACCAGATACACACGGGGACTTAGGCTAAGCACAGGTAAACTTCAGTCCATGTGTCTCAGCAAAGGCAAATTTCAGTAAATGTGAATCATAATTGCTAGAGTCATCATTGTGGATGAGGTTTTCCATGGGAGGGTTGGATGCTCTGTTCTTTGGGGACTAATTAGCCAGGCTTCTTTTTTTCTTTGGTGCCTAGCATGCTGTTATCATTAACATACTTCCAGGCATTAGGTGAAGAGGCATGGTTACCTCCTCCCAGGTTCTCCCTTCTCTCTGTGGCTCCTGTCTCCTACACAAAGTACCTGCTCTGTAGTAACCACTGTGTGGCCACCATGTGCTAAGCCCCCTCCTCCATTTTTTATTTAGCCTTGCACTAAGCCTGTGAGGTGGGCATAGATGAGGAACAGAGGCTGAGGTGTGTCTCCTGTCCAGAATACCACAGCAAAGCCAGCCCAGCCCAGGTCTCTAAACACATGTCAACCCCCCCCCACACACGTCAACTCCCCCCCACACACACACAGCCTGGGACTTTGTGGTGTACACGTGTCTCCCTGGGAGCCTGAGCCCCTTAAGGTGGGCTTCACTGTAGTGACCCACTGAATGTTGTTTACTGGACTCAACTAGAAGGTTTTGGGGGGAAGAGGGAAGGAACTGAAATGGAGGTCAGCCACAGGGCAGGCCACCTGTCCCTCACATCCCTGGACAGCTGAACACATCGCAGACTCATGCTGCGTGTCCTGCTTCCAGGAGGCACAGCATGCGTACTGACCGGGCAGCCCTTCGACACAATGAAGGTGAAAATGCAGACGTTCCCCCATTTGTACCGAGGCTTCACCAACTGCTGCTTGAAGACCTACTCCCAGGTGGGCCTCCGGGGCTTTTACAAGGGCACCAGCCCAGCCCTGATCGCCAACATCGCTGAGAACTCTGTACTCTTCATGTGCTACGGCTTCTGCCAGCAGGTGGTGCGGAGACTGCTTGGATTGGACAAGGGGGCAAAGCTGAGGTGAGTTGGGACGCTGGCACTGTGTGCTTTTTAAAACTATTGCTGTTGCATGGCCTTGACTTCAGTAAGGTTTAGTGGAAAGAACATTTCCTTTTAGAAAATATCTACCTTCTTTTTGATTCTGATGCCACACACTGTCAGGGTACAAACCATGCGTGTGCATTTCATAAAGGATGACTGCCTGTAGCCCATCACTGGGAATGAAACACCCTGCATTTTGGTCTCTTCAGGAGGGTGCTTTTCACATGGGCTGAAGTGTCCATCTAAAACCATAGGTGCTGTTGGGGACCCAAGCTTTAGGTTCCCCTTCATCAACGGAAGTGTTGGCGGAAGTTGCCCAAGCTAAGTAGGTTTGAGGAGAAATGTGGAGCTTGAGGAAGGGTTTGAAATGTGTGAGAAGGCAGAGACAGAGGAACCCACTTTTTTTTTTTTTTTATTTGGATGGCACTGGGGTTTGAACTCAGGGCCCCACACTTGCTAGGGACACACTCTTATTGCTTGAGCCACTTCACCAGCCCATGACCCACCTTTCTTCGGCCAAGTCTTCCTCAGACATCTGACTTTGGCTCATATTTGGTCTTCTCCAGGATTTTTATCATACAGAGAATTAGGAAACCACTGGGATGTTCAGCCATCCTCGGAACGCGGATTTATTTGAAATGACTTAGAATGATTACATCTGCCTGCTTTCAAGAGACAGTTTTGCTGACTGTTTTAGTAGGAATTGGAACCACAATTCAACTGTACATCCCACGTGACTAAAGCCATTTCCATGGGAACGGAAGCGTTCTCTGGAAGTGTCTAGAGGACTTGGATGAGTCCCTCTTTAGGTAGGAATTCTGTTGTGATGGGTGGAACTTGTACTTTAAAGGTTTGGAACTAGATGAGATGGTCCAAAGAGACAGCGTAGGATAGAGAGGCTGAGCTCTGATCCTCCAGCACAGAAAGGGCAGGAAGGAGAGATAAAGCAGAGAGCAAACGAGGAAAGCATGGCACACCACGGCATGGCACACCACGGGGAAGGCTGGACAGAAGCAAAATGATTGATGACTTTAGCTTTCTCCCAGCTGAGGGAGAGATGTACTACTTGAGGAGACATGGGTTTAGCTTTCCCTCAGCCTTCTTAGCAAAGGACACCATGGGAGAGAAGCCAGGGAAATAGAGGGTCTTGTGGAAGAACTGTGCAGTTCCTTTGGCTCAGCAGTGACTTTCACCTTCCCACAAGAGCAAAGCCATTAGAGATGTGGCTCTGTGTACCCTTCCCCACTTTGCCCCTTTCTTAGCTGTGAACAAAGTGAAGACGTATAAGCATAGTGTTTTTCTGGTAAAGGGTGAATCCATGCCATATGGCTACCATTCCCCACACTGTCCCCAGAAGCCCTGTTGACATCCCCAAGAAAGGGTTGGGAAATACTTCAGTGCATCTCTCGTGTGGGCTCTGGGTAGAACACATGGCATTTAGTTTAAGGATCCTTAGACGTTCCTCAGTGAAGAGACGACCTGTTTAATGTGGTCTAATGCAACACTAGAGTCTCCTGATGTTGGGTCTTTTTTGTTCCACTCTGTTACTTATTGAGGAAATGCTGCCTGGATTCTTGACCAAGCTATGACACATGTGTTCATGTGTCCTTCACGATGATCCAAAGCAGATGCTGTCATCTGTCTTACAGATGGGGAAAGTGAGGTGCAGATGTTCACCGCTCCCAATCGCCAGACCAAGGACTCAGCCCTTGTGTTCTAAGCCCCTCCCCCGCCAGTCTCATGTTGGACCAGTCGAGGTCTGAAATAACTTCATGGAGGGGGGTGACATATTTCAAGAGCAGTGAAAGGAAAGAACTGCTTGTGAGAGCCTGCTGTGAAGTTCTGCAATCATATTGTAAATATTTGTCTGTTCCAGGTTTGAACATGACCCAGAGTCAGCTTTGACCTCTGGCCAGGCAGGCTCTTGCACAGTGGGAGTATTCAGGTGCTTTTTGTTGAACAGATGACAAACAGTTGATTCTTCAAAACCCCTATCCTACACCTATTGCCCTTTCAATTCCAGTTCTACACGCTTATACCAGACGCAGGACCTGGGGCCAGTTGCCTCATTTTTACACTGGTAGATGATGGTATTTATTAGAAAGCCAAAGTCCACAGCCAATCTCATTTGGCCTGTCCTTGCACTCTAAGGTGCTTTGTGCTCGATAAGACATCTGGGCCATCACTGCGTCTGAGGCTGAACTGACTGCCACATTTATTGACTGCTACCTTTGTTCCAGCAAAGTTGGGTAATGACGCCAACTGACGGTTGCCTGTCAGCAGGTTGATAGAGAGTCCCTGAGGGACGCCAAGTACGGATCTGCAGTTTGGCTGAAAGACAGCAAAAACCATTGAAAGCTTTGGTTTTCAACAAACGAGCCAAGGAGTGTTGTGAGGAGCAAAGAGTGACCTGAACATACCTGACAGTTTCTACATACCAGAGGCTATGTGCAAGGACATTTGTGTCCCTGGCTGGCTCTCCTCCGTTAATGGGCCTGCAGTTAGTTCTGAGTTCAAAAGAAAGTCCATACTGCAAGGAGTGGCCTCCTGAAAGCAAACCCACTCCAGCCAGCTTTTCTGAGACCAGGTATGAGAGGCCAGCTCAGCACTTGACACCCCCTTGTGTGGAAGCTAGACCACAGGAAATTGGAAACCAGAGCCAAGGCAGGAGGTGCCCTTGGTTTTTATACTAACGTTTACACCGGCGAAACTTTAGCCTTGAATGTGGTAGATCCACTGTGCTTTTGCTCACAGTCTGGAGAGAAATTATTAGGGGATCAGGGGCAGTCAGGAGAGGGGACTCCCCTCAGGCACTTTTGGAAATCTGTGAGGGCTTCCAAAACTAAATGGGTGAGTTGGGGGACTAATTCAGTCTTTCCTGCCCAGTGAAGGATTGTGCCACCCAAACATTTTCTTGGGGGCTGCAAGAGGTCTCTTCTGACCCCCCTCCTCCCCAAACTCTGAGGAGTCTTCCTGACTCCTGAGAAAAGTTGCTCATACTTTCCCCCTCTTTTTGGGTTCTAGTTTCCCAACCCTGTGGTGACTGTGGCTGGTGGGACTGGGCCTATATAAGAGGAGAGGAATGCTTCTATCTTTGTACCTGTATGCATTCATCCCCTGTCTAGTTTGGGTTTCCAGCTTAGCCTTTCCACCTAAAACTACTGGCTATGCAGGCTTGTACTGATTTCACTCACCTCTGGGTCCCATTGCCTGCTCCTCCTTCCTTCTGTGTTGCTGAGGCTGAAGAGGTGTTTTAATCCATTTTCTGTTGCTATACCTGAGGCTGAGTGAGGTATAAAAAAAGAGGTTTATTTAGCTCATGGTTCTGCAGGGTCAGGATCATGACACAGTCATCTCTTCAGCTCTGGTGGGCTCCTCTGGCTACATCACAACATGGTGGATGACATGGTGTGTGTGAGAGGGAGAGATCACATGCCAGGCAGGAAGCCAGAGAGATTTAGAGGTGAGGTGTCTTCTGTTTATAACATTCTGTCCTTGTGAGAACAAACTAGAGCCCTGTGAGAACATTAATCCCTTTTGAGGGTAGCAGTGCCCCTGGCGACCCAACCCCCTTCTACTAACCCCCACCTCTGTAACTACCTCCACACTATCACAGTGGGGACCATGCTCCAGCACACAAACTTTGGGGGGGGCCACACAAGCCATATCAAACCACAGCAGGAGGTCATCAGCCAAATTGGGAAATCTTTTTGCCATGTAGGAACTTTTGGTTAAAAATTTATTCTGGGTTTTCATCTGTGGTACTTATTTTGGGCAGGAAGAAATGCCTTAGACTCTAACTTTATTTAAAGTTAGTAGAAAATACACTGAAAATGCATGTTTTGGGCGATGGGAACTGTGGGTAATTTTTTCCCCCTCTCCTTTGTGTTTTTTGGGTTTTTTTCTTTATATGTCACCATGTGTTCTAGCTTGGGGTACTATAACAAAATACCATAGACTGGGAAGTATAAATAACAAACATTGCTCATAATTCTGGAGACTGGAAAGTCCAAGATCAAGGTGATGGCAGATTTGGTCCTTTCTTGCTGTATCCTCACTGGTCCTCTCTGGTCCCCTTTTATAAGGACACTAATCTTACTGTCATCACCTCGTCTATGCATAATTGATGCTGAAAGATACCTTGTCCAACTGCCATAACATTGGGGGTTAGGCCTCCAACATACGAGTTTGGGTGGGGACATGAGCATTCAGTCCGTAGCACTATGTCTAAAGACAGCACAGGGCTGGGGTGTGGCTCAGTGGTAGAGCACTTGCTCAGCAGGCATGAGGCCCTGGGTTCCAGACCTAGAACACCACCAACAAAACCCAACAATTAAGAAAAAAATCCAACGTGGATGTTGCAGTTGGACAGACCTGGATTTGATTGCTAGCACTGCTGTGTGAATTTGGGCATGTTGTGTGTCATCTCTAAGTATCATTTCCCCATATTGGATCTGGGGTATTGCTGTTGCCTCACAGGGTCATGGGATCCTTAGATGTGACAACTCATGCAAGTTCCCTGCTCTTATCCTACTCTCCCTTCTGGCGAGGTGAGACCTGGAGGAGTGAGGAAGCTGATGGTAAGTGGTCATCTCTGTTTTTAGTGATCTGCAGAATGCAGCTGCTGGGTCCTTCGCCTCTGCCTTTGCCGCGCTGGTGCTCTGCCCCACCGAGCTCGTGAAGTGCAGGCTCCAGACCATGTATGAAATGGAGACATCGGGAAGGATAGCCAAAAGCCAGAAGTAAGCACCATTTGGTCATTTTCAGCTACCCACGTGCTCCCTACATGAATGGGGTTTGTAACAGTGCCCTGTTTTCTGCATCCTTCAATTCATTCCAGCCGACTCAAATCTGTTATTCATTGCTTGGAAGTCCAAAAGTGTAAGCCTTGAAAACATTTTATTATTGAATTATAGCATCAGTGTTGTGAATACACCCACATTTCGTAAGTGTGCAGTTATGTAAACAGAAGTGAAGTCATGAGTGCAATTAGTCCTGGATTAAGAAATAGAAACTTGACAGCACCAAGGAAGTTACCGTCACGTGCCTTGGAAGTTGTTTAAGGTAATTTAAAGATCATTATGATTATATGCAAAGGACTTATGTGGCAGCTTGGGCTGAGACCTGGATTGGATGGCAGGCCAACTGTGTTGGCACCTGGGATCACATTTGCATGTGGAAGGAGCAGTGCTGCAGTAAGGGCTTGATGGAGCCTTCCAAAGCTCTCAGAAGGAAAGCCATTGGCTGAGGCCTTTGGCACCTTGGGGCTTGATCATCTCCCAGAGCTGAGTCCCCTGCTCTCTTGATGGCAAAGTGAGGAGAGGGATACACTGAGCTGGTATGAGTGCATGGTTTCCTTCCGTTCTCAGTGCACAGCATCCTGATGAGAGTGTGGGCCAAAGTGTCCCTGGCTGCTCTAGGAGCAGGACTCTAATCTCAGAAAGGAGTCCTCTGTGGTCCTGCCACTCCAGCAACTCAGTTCTGGGTGCTGTTCTTATCATGGAAGCTGTGGCTCAGCCCTCAGAATTCCTTTGTCTTGCCCTTAGGTAATATTTACTCCTTTGCTCATTTCCCTGTACTAACAAAACAAAACAGTGGGTAACCACCTGAGCAAATTCTCATAAAACACACCAGAAGGACTGAACCAAGAATCAAGGGAGACAAGCTGCTGGGCAGATAACAGCGCCATCTTTTTTTTGATGATTTCTTATTGTAATTCTAGGTTTCACCTATTTACTATTGAAAAAAATGGGTAGTAGCTCTTTTTATGTCTTTGATAATGTGACTTCTATAAATGTATGCATTCATTTTAAAATTTGCCAATAATAGATGATCCTGCTTCTCTAAGATTTTTCCTTCCCACAGGACACCTTTTATTCTTAGAACTCCTGGTTCCTCTATTTACAAAACCAGCTACTTCTTACTTGTGCAGCTGGTCTGTTAATTGGGTATGAATGCCCTTTTCCTTTCTTCTCGCCTTCTGCATCTCCTCCCAGTACAGTTTGGTCTGTTGTGAAGAGCATCCTTCGGAAGGATGGCCCCCTGGGCTTCTACCATGGACTCTCCAGCACTTTACTTCGAGAAGTACCAGGCTATTTCTTCTTCTTTGGTGGCTATGAACTGAGCCGGTCATTTTTTGCATCAGGGAGGTCAAAAGATGAACTAGGTAAATAAGTCTGGGTGGACAGCATTTGGGTCTGATGACATCCACTTTCTGGTGGCATGGTTCCTGTGTATTACCTGCTTAATGTGCCCCTTTGTGGGGGATCTACCTGGCACTAGGAAGTCTGGATGCCAGGAAGTAACATGGCAGCAGGAATTGCTAATGGTTTCCTCCCAAGGGAGAGTAATTTTCTCAGTATGGGTTGAAGCAGTAAATTGTAAACTTCTTTATTGGAATAACATTTATTATTCCTGGTCCATTTTAGGGGGAGATGAAATGCAGAGATTATTTTCCCCATTAGGAAATCATCTATACATCTTACTGGAAATAATTCTTGGTAGTGTTTTGAGAGCCATGTGGAAAAGCCTAGTTCTGATTTATTCTTTTGAACTGCTTGACACAGCTGTGTGCAATGCTTGGCTCACATGCATGAGTTAATTCCTCTTAAGCATCTCACTTCACTGTGTTGGATTTGTACTGTGGTTAGTCAAGCTCCCAGACTTAACTGATGTGTTTAATAAGCCAATTTTGATTTTTTTGTGGCAAAGGAAAAACTGGGGATGCTGAATATTAAAATACCATTGAAGAAAACATGGACTGCATTTCAGTGGCCTGTCTTCTCGTTCCCTATGCCCTGAAGCCCTCTGGTTCTAGGTGGGCCAGGCCCTCTGGAGGATAGGGCCAGAGATGAGGGCACAGCACCTTAGTGACCAGCTTAACACAACCCTTACTAGGGCTGCTTTTCCTGGTGAGGTCCAAAGCAGACCTGACTACCAAATGGAACCTTGGGTGGTTAGTTTCAACAGTTTTCTCAAAGAATTGAGCTCTCTAGCATTAGTGTTTTTCACCTACCCGTAGGTAGGTGACCTCTGGAAATGTCACTTAAGATAAAATACCGGGTGGGAAGAGATTGATGGGGACAGATGGTGGGGGCGATCTAGCCAATGTACAATGTAAGCCTGTTCAGAATTGTGACAATGAATCCCCCCTGTACAACAAATATATCCTAATAAGAATTGTTAAAAAAGAAAGATAAAATACTGTTTGCTATTTTTCCTCTCTAGGCCCTGTTCCTTTGATGCTAAGTGGTGGAGTTGGTGGAATTTGCCTATGGCTGGCTGTATATCCAGTGGATTGTATCAAATCCAGGATCCAAGTTCTTTCCATGTCTGGCAAACAGGCAGGATTTGTTGGAACCTTTCTTAGTGTTGTGAAAACTGAAGGTGAGTCTGCTGAATGTAGTAGGTGTGTAGACAGTGGACTTGTCACTTCACCACTGGTCTTCTGGAGACTTGATCTGACTCTTCACCCATGAGCCAGCTACCTGGCAGGATCCTTTGTTCTAAATAGCCTAGAGGGAATTTTTAAGATGTGGACTTTGACTAAAGGGACAAATGCTTTGAAGTTAGCATCATCAGCTTTAGGTAGTATAGTACTGTCAGAATATGCTCTCCAACAGCACTACTAAGGGCATTAAAAGAATGCACAACATCCTTCATGGTAAGATTTCTGGAATTAGAAATGGACTGAACAACTTCTGAAGATGATTTGCTATCACCTTTCAGAGTTATGCAGGAGGATAAAGACTTTCTAAGTAGCATTTGTATAAAGCCAATTTATGCATCTGTAAGTACCTATTCTTCCAGCATCCACTGTACATCCTGAAACTTGGATTATGAACTATTTTAATTTTAAAAAAGAGAGCACAGTAACACAGAGACAAAGTTGTTTAATTCATATCCCAAGCAGAGCACATAAATTTTGTGTATTACTACTAGTAACCTCCTGTAAGTTTGCACAATGCTTTATAGTTTGAAAAGTATGTTTCTTTTCCTTAGCTAATTCTGTCTGCATAGCTGTGCTGGGTAGTGCTAATTCTAGAACTAGCTCTCTCACTTCAATGTTGTGTTCTTGCTGTTGCCTCTAGCACCACGGTTGCCTCTGGGTAGCCGTGTAAGGCCTCAGTGTGTCCCATCCATGTTCTAGGAGTTGTCCAGGCATGGAATTAGCTTCTGTTACCTGAGCATCAGTCAGCTTTGCCAGGTGACCTGATACTTGTCTTGTTCCTATTCTATTTAGAAGAGGCTGGAAGTAAGTTCTTCCATCACTTGTTAAGATTTAGTGCTGTTGTCTGGATTTGTAAGTACAAATATTCCTATTCTGTGCATGGGTCTGCCCAAGGAAGAGATTGTCACAATCTGTGATTGCCCTTTTGTCTTCTAGGAATAACAGCCTTATATTCTGGACTAAAACCTACTATGATTCGAGCATTCCCTGCCAATGGGTCACTATTTTTGGCCTATGAATACAGCAGGAAGTTGATGATGAGTCAGTTGGAAGCTTACTGAAGTGTCGTGGTGGGTCTGGATCCAAGCCCAGGCATTTGAGGACTGTTCATCTCAGGGTTTCATGGAGTACAAGAACAATGTGGAATTACTTGATTTCTTGGGAATTTCATCTTCTACCCCAAATCTTAAACTTTATGTGGAAGGACCTTCACTTTACATAATATCATTTCTGCCTAAAATTATATTCAGAGAGAGAAATCGCTGCTCTTGCTCTTGATAGACTGCATAAGGTAACTGGTTGGGACCCTAAGTTAAAAGGGTGAATACAGTTCTGTCAGGGCATGATTTCTGCACAATCTGTATGTAAACATGCAGTTTGGATAGTTATGTGTTGAGAGAAGCATGACTTAGTTCCATGTTTAGTGACAAATAGCAGAAAACCCAGGAGTGACCATTTTTCATTATAAATGTTGTGACTGCTTAACCTATTCTAGATGTAGGGTTCTCTTTAAAATCTGTTGAACCTGTGCATAAAGAGGTTAAAGTTTTTATGTGATTCTTAAACTAGAATATCTAGATTTTTAAAGAGAACATACCTGCATACTGGTGTGGTTTCTACTTTCTTGATGAAATTTCAGGTAGGCATTCTGGATTTTCCCAAGATGTTCTACTCTTAAAATAGTGCCATTCATTTTCTAAGTGTGCTGTTATTCCACACTCTGACTGTATTGCTAGGTGTGATCCAGGAGATCAGGCCTTTGGCGGTACTGGGACTTGAACTCAGGGCCTCATTTTTAAGGCAAGCACTCTGCCATTTGAGCCACTCCACCAAGGGATCAAGTCTTTGGGAAGAAGCACAACCCTCACCCAACTTCCCCTTTTCTTTCCCAAAGAGCTTCCTCTGCGCTGGGCTGCAGATTGAGGAAGGGGCTAGAGATGAGCTGCGTGGCTGTGCTTTGGTGAAGACCCATGTGGCTGATGGCAGCTCTTACTTAATTCCATCTCTTGGTCCTAGCAGGGGTAGGACGTCAGTTCTTTTGGCCCTTGGTCCAGAGATGTTGATCCGCTTTGGACCACTCATTGTCCTCTCTACCGTCATCCATTAGAAGCCCTTGCAGGGAACAGAAAGCCAAAGCCAAGAGAAGCTGTGGCTCCCTGTTTGGTAATGGAGTGCTAGAATTCATGGATGAAGCTCTCTTCTGAGTTCGAAAGAACTTAGTGCTTATACTTTGCAGTGTGTGGTGTCCAGGCTGACCTATCCTCAAGTTTACCGCAGGACCCATAACTCCTTGTCATACTTGTTCAGTGGTGGAGCCTTCTACATTTAGGGCTGGCAGTCAGTTCATGAATTTTAATGCCTGTAGATGGAGTATGACTTTATAAAGCACTGGAATGTATGAAAAGCAATTTCTTAAAACTAGGTTTAACATACATACCAACCCTCAAAAGCAAGCAAACCCCACAGTTCCTCTGATCCCCCTGGGTTTGGAGTGGGCAGTTCTTTGGTCATGTGGTGTAAGAGGATCATTCTTGTCACTACACAAGTAAGCCTCGGTGTTCTGTGCTGCTCCAAGACCTGCAGGGTGCGCTCAGTATAAGTGTTCTTACACAGCCTGTAAAGCTGGTGCAAGCAGGCGACCGTGTTCATGCGTCCATCCTCGCCTGGTGTATCCGTCCCTGTTGGCAGAATGTAAACACTGGGTGAAACCTTCAGTCTCCCTAAGCTTTCTGCTATTTCCAAGCCTCTGGCAATTCTTAGCCATAGTGCTGGGAGCATGAGGGTGGGTCAGGGAAGCAAGGTGCTGCCAAACCAGGCGGGCAGAGCTGTGACTTTGGGGAATGGGTTGATTCCCGTCATGGCTGATCTGCTTCGGTGCCATAGCTGGTCTCCATTTGCTTTTTATTTATGAGAAAACCATTTTTCTACTTTAATTTTCTCCCCGTATTTCATGGTCATGAGTGGTGCTTCATCTGAGCAGGCCTGCTTTAAAATAAAAATAGAAATTGGTTCTGGCCTTTTGCAGGAAGGGACTTGCTGAGAGTCCATGTCCTGCTGCCCTGTGTCTGGGAGTTAAACCAACTTACCTGTTGGTAGATGTTTTTCACAGGCCATCCATTAAAGATTTAGCTAAATATTTTCAAATAGACTGAAGCAAATGAAAGTAAGGAATGGAAACTTAAGTCTGAATTTTTTTTCATTGTTTTCTTAATCTGTTCAATATTTGGATACAGTTTGTACCATTTCAGATCTGTACTCCAGACAAAAAATATAATTTGAAATATTTTGTTTATAGAAATTGAGTGCTCTATTGTCATTAAATTATTTACCTATTATGAGTCTATGATGAGTTTTAAGTATTTCACATCCATGCTAAGAACCAATAATCAGAAATGTTAGTTATGCTTAGTAATATCTCAAGGCGGTTTTATTGCAACAAGCATTTTTCATCAGTAAGATTCCTGCTGGAATGTGATTTCACTATAAACAAGTTGACAAAACACATGTTGGTTATACACCCTGAAGTTATGAAACTGCCCATCAGAATTACTCACTTTACCTCTCACTCTTTTTAAAAAATAGCTAAATTACTTGCTATTAAGTTTTGGATAATTCAATTTCAAGTTAGTAAGTTCTGTTTAAGAAAACAACTATCCTTTTGATATGATGTAAGTTTCTCAGTTCAAAGAATTATTCACTTTGGGTTCAAAGAAAGCAGTGTCTAAGTTTTCTTTCTGTGAGCAAAACCAAAATAGTGTGAGAAATCATCAGTGAGAAATTGAGTCTTGAAGGTTAGGATAGAGAAACCACAGCTTCATCCTTCTTAGTTCAAAAAGCAAGATTCTGGGCTGGTGGTGTGGCTCAAATGGTGGAGCATCTGCCTAGCAAGTACAAGGCACTGAGTTCAAACCCTGGTACACCAAACAAATATTCTTAAAAGTCAGAGTTTCCACAAGAGACTGTGAATAGCCAAGGCAATACTTAGCAAAAAGAGCAATGCTGGTGGTATCACAATATCCAACTTCAAACTATACTACAGAGCCATAACAAAAACCAGCATGGTACTGGCACAAAAACAGACATGAAGACCAGTGGAATAGAATAGAGGACGTGGATATGAATCCACACAGATATGCCCACCTTATTTTTGACAAAGGTGCCAAAAACATATGATGGAGAATAGACAGCCTCTTCAACAAATGTTGCTGGGAAAAGTGATTATCTGCCTGCAGAAAACTGAAACTAGATTCATGCCTATCACCCTGTACTAGTATCAACTCAAAGTGGGTTAAGGACCTTAATATCAGACCCAAAATTCTGAAGTTAGTACAGGAAAGAGCAGGGAATACTCTGGAAGCAACAGGTATAGGCAAAGACTTCCTTAGTAGAACTCCAGCAACTCAGCAACTAATAACCAGAATATACAGGGAGCTCAAAAAACTAAGCTCCCCCCAAATCAATGAACCAATAAGAAGTGGGCAACTGCACTAAACAGAACTTTTTCAAAAGAAGAAATTCAAATGGCCAAAAACCACAAAAAATGCTCACCATTCCTGGCAGTAAAGGAAATGCAACTCAAAACCACACTAAGATTCCACCTCACCCCTGTTAGAATAGCCATCATCAGCAACACCACCACCAACAGGTGTTGGCAAGGATGCAGGGAAAAAGGAACCCTCTTACACTGCTGGTAGGAATGTAAACTAGTACAACCACTCTGGAAAACAATATGGAGGCTTCTTTAAAAACTAAACATAGATCTGCCATATGATCCAGCGATCCCACTCTTGGAGATATACCCTAAGGAATGCAACTCAGATTACTCCAAAGGCACTTGCACACCCATGTTTATTGCAGCACTATTCACAATAGCCAAGCTAAGGAAACAACCAAGATGCCCCACTACTGATGAATGGATTAAGAAAATGTATTTATACATAGTGGAATTTTATTTAGCTACAAAGAATGAAATTTTGTCATTCACAAGTAAATGGATGGAACTGGAGAACATCATCTTCAGCAAGGCTAGCCAGGCTCAGAAGGCCAAAAATCGCATGTCCTCCCTCATATGTGGATTATAGACCCAAAACAAATGCAGTAATATTATTGGACATGGGTCACACACTAAGGGGAGAATGTGCACAGGAGGAATAGGGAAAGGGAAGGAAACCTAAAACTTGAATGTGGTTGAAGTGCTCACTGTAGAGGAGCAAATAAAGTAATCTTAAACTGGCAGAGGCCACTATGGGAAGGTGACCAGGAAGTAGTGAAGAGGTCTGGCAGAGATGAACCAGTATGGGCTGCAATACACATGTGCATGGAAGCAATGCTAGGAATCTCTCTAAATAACTATGTTAAGCTAGCAAAAATGCTATGTCTTTATTATCTCTTATGTTTTGTCCTCAACAAAACTGGAAAAGAGGGCAGAACAGGTTCTGCCTGGAAGTGGAGTAGGATGGAGGGTGGGGCAGGGGAAGAAATGGCCCAAACAATGTATACACATATGAATAAATGTATAAACAATAACAAAAAAAGTTGGAGTTTCCTTTCCTCCTTGATGCCAGTTTTGAAAAAGACTTCTCTGAACCAGCTGTTTTTCCATGGGCCACCTAAGCCTGCCATCATTGTCTGATCATTGCCATTTTTACAGCATATTCACTGTTGTTACAATAGTGTACCACCTATTGTACCACAGTGTATGTTTCTGTAACTGGAAGGAATTTGAAAGCATGCTGATCCTTTTTTTTTTTTCCTCCATGAGGAGCCAGATTAGGGACAGGAAAGAAAATGCCTTTAGCTGGGCTGCTGCACTGGCAGTTGTGACACTTGAGATATTTGTGGGTGGGGAGCTAGACTGCCCACCAGCTTTGTGCAGATTGCTGATCTTCCATGCCCACAGGGGCTCAGACCTTTACTTCCATCTTTGTCACTTAAGCACCTACAGCATTTCTCTGTTCCATTTAAAAAAGCCACTGTGGCAACTCCCAGACTGCTGACCTATTGACTGGTGTTTAAGTGGTTAGTGTGGTGGTAACAAAGTTGCTTAGTTTGAGTGCTTTGTCCAAACCCCCAAATCCTTTTATTTTCATGAATTACTTGTTTTCAGAATGTGCTTTCTGCAGAGTGCAGGGGGTTTTAGGAACACGAGTTGTGTAACCTTGCCGTCATAACATTTCTGTCAGTGAGGGGCCAGGATCCTGTAAGATTAT